GCCCGCGTGCGACAGGTGGTGTTTGCGTGGCAGCGAAGCTCCATGACGGCCTAGAGCTAGCGATTTCTTTATTGTATTTTTTATATTCCAGTATGTTATGCGTTATTTGCCGGTTAGTCGATGTCATTACACCAGAGAGCGTTTGGTAGCCCCAAATCTGAAAGTCACCGTGCTTTTCCCTATATGACTCCCATGTATGAGTCGTGTCGAACTTTTCGACAATCCCACATGGGTGCAGTTATTCTCCATGAACATCTGCAACGACTACGTGTCAATGTAGATAATGGTCCTGAAAGCCGTTTGCTGATGGTCAACTGTAAAAATGGAATTTCATAGGGTGAGAAATATAAGCACTGATATAATTACTGGGGAGGAATATCCATGGGTACTTGTCAGTCGAAACCTTCGACTGAACGGTAACCACTGTGGAACATTCAATATTATTTCTACGATGTCATTTGTACAAGTGCTACTAACATCTTTGATAGTGGGTGAAGCCTGACGGGTTTGTGTCATAGAAAGGAAAAATAAACACTGATTTATCACGAGCCAAAAAGGTGATTAAAATGTCCCTCAGGATAGTTGGAATGAGATCTTTAATAAATCTGCAATTTAATGGTCTACCGATTTGGAATCACTGCCGAATAACGGTGGTTTGCAATGGGAGTTGAATGTGCGCACACAAAGTAATAAAGTGGACGGTTATATTTGGCGTATTCCATGAGAAAAATATTTCTGTAATGATAACACTCACGAAATGGAGGGCTATTTGGACTACACGTTGTGTGATTGGATTGCGACGCGCAATCTCAATGTGGACCACGATTCATATTGAAGTGAACCTTGGTCACTGCGATCACTGTGGCCGTAGCCGAGGCAGATGGAAGTTGGGTGTTGCCCACCCGAAAACACTGCACAACCACGATGCGTTTCGATCTAATTCTATCCCGTCCGGTGGAGACAGCAGGCTTCGAACCCGTGACCATTGGAATAGTAGCCGGAACCTATACTCCTTTGGCTACCGATCGCACGTTGGTCGAATTTAGTAGAAGCCTTCTGAAAAATTCGACTGCCTGCATTTACTCGCAGGTGGATTGATGACATATGTCTAATGTCTTATATTGATGGCGTCGAAATGAAGCAGTTTCTGAGTCGCCCATTTGTATACGCACGTGTAGTTGACAAGTAATAGCAAACCGCGGAGGAAACTTTGAGCTTCGCCTCCTTCGAGGACAGTTTTTGATTCTCGCATTATGCATAAGGTAACAAAAACTCCAAAATTCGCGGGATAGATGTTGAAGAGTAGGCAACCAAGGAGTTTCCAACTGCAAAGATAAGGATCCTAAAGCTAAGCATTCCAACCAACTCAACTATCAAACTGCAGTATATATGTGTCCATGCACACCTAGGAATCACCAGTTATTCTAACTCAGTTGAGCAGGAAGGGGTTCAAAATGAAACTTGTTTGGGACATCAACCGTGGTTATTGCTACATAAACCCAACGTTGCCTTATCAGTCAGCAGTTACACACACGTCAGTATCCAGTGAGCGTCGGTTAATTAGTCCCATTCTGAGAACCGCTTCAATGAGATTTTATTGCTAAAGCAAATGGAAAAATGAAAATATAATCCATGGTTCAGGTTGCACAGTTGCATAGCTCTTGCGTTTGATCATTCGGAGGCACGAAATCGATGAAGTTTACTGGCTTTTGTACCAAAACGCAGCTACACCTCTCTTGTGCGCCTTCAGGTTTGTGGACATTACTCAGTTTACCCTAAACCTAACCTTCGTTAACACACAATCACCCAGCTCGTAATCCGGGAGACGGTGAGAAACGTCTGCTTCAAAGCGGAAAGTTTACCGTACTGTGTTCGATCCAGTTACGGTTAGGCCGTTTAGAGCACCTGTTGCATTCCCACAGCTATGCAACCTACACTTTTGGTGCTTAGTGACTGCTTGGAAATGTCCCTGCTCTTATTTGGTGTACAAGTTGGCCAGTTAAAAATGTGTGGTATAGCAAGTTTATAAATAAATATTTGATATATTGCTCAGTCGATTAAGTTGAAGCCGAACGAAATGATTTAGTAAGTGGGCACTTGAATTATCGGTTGACACCAGATCCGTTTTAGGTGGAAACTAGTTTTTTGTTAGCCCTAAGCACAACAAAAAGTCCGTAATCTGCCCTACGTTAGTAGTTTGTATCCGGCTACTAAATAAGTCTGCGGTTGCGACATCGCGAAAGTGTCGGATGAACAGTTGGATGAGTGATGATCTACACCACAACAGTTTATCCGCCTCTATACCCGTAAGGTGAAGCAGTCCGTTGAACCTTTGTATCCACTTTGGGAGTAGCTTTACTAAGTACATCCTGTCATACAACGAGTGGAAAATGTTTCATATTTCGTGACATTTGAGAAGAGCTTTCAAACAGAAGATGACGGAAAGTTGCGCTCAGCCACATTTATCAATAATCTATAAGTAACTATCCTCACTTTCTCTCTGTAGATACACTTACCTCAAGTGTAATGAATATTCTAGTTTTAGGAAGGATGTGAAATATTAATTTATATATTGAGGATGGTGATTTGGAATAAACAAATGGAAATAAACAGCATATTCATCGATTGTGCGAGATTCCTCTGAATGCTCTGATCAGCTGAAATGAAACAGTGTGTATTCTTCCGCACAAGCCGCGTAACTTTGTGCGCCATGTTAATTCTGAAAGGCGCTTAATCAATTCGGATCACTGAGTTCTAGCCGATGCGTTCTTTCTTTTGGTAATAAGTTCAAAGACACTTTGGTACATCACAAAGGATTTCTTCGGTTGTTCATTCGCCAAAACCCACGCGTAAAACCCCACTTTCTTGGTTTTCCTCAGTGATTTTGAGAGACCGTTCGACAAAGCATGTTAAGGCTACCAAATAAGATATAATTTAGTACGGTACACCACTGTACACCGTAGAGAAAAACTATTTTCGCGTCCCACATTTAACATCGTGTTTTTTCGTGTGTCTTGCAGCATAGAGTCTGTGTGATTTCGTCCACCCATGCGCCGAGTGACGTACCAATCCAAAAGTTAATGGCGAAACAACAGATCTGAGGATCAAGGTGTAGAACTGATGAAGCTCAAACCAGTGTGACCAGTATGACTATAAAAGTAAGTACAAAGCATTCAACCAATGGCTGGAGCAGTTTGTCGGCAGGACTTTCGTTGCACTACAAACCCAAGGTCGATCGTAGCTCAGACAAGCGGAGAACAGAGGTCAGCACAGGGATCGCGTACCCGCCCTGTGCCAATTCCTATTTCCTACGCAACGAAAAGCATAGCGTACCAACGAATAGTTTGGGGTTCTGTGTCATGTTCAGCTAATCCCGTAGTTAGCATGACTTGAACCCTTACAGGAAGATGTGAAGTCTTGGCTACAAGGCGGCTGCTCCACGAACGGAAGTACCTGCTCAGCAGACCTCTCTGCAGTGTTGCGGTTAGGAAACCTCAATCGGTGTTCATGTGAATGGATTGTCTGTACCAGAACTGAGTTTACCTATCACATCCGTCCAAGGAAGCGACATGCGAATGACCGTTGTCATCCTCATATTTTAATTTTTCTCGCGAAGTACGTCAATTATAACTGCTCACCATATTCCTATGTGTGCACACGTTCAATTCCCATTTTAAACTATCGTTATGTAACAGTGATTCTAAATGGGTAGACGCTTAGACTGACGCTTCACCTATCTTTGATTCTTTTAGTTTTCATTCTGAACATCCTGTGGGACTGTTTAAGTCCCTACCTTTCTGCCCATGACAAAACGTTGTTCATTGTTCATTCTCAACGGAGCAAAATGAACTGTTCACGTTTTTGGGAGGGGTAATTACTGTACTCGCGTTGCAGGTTAGTGTACTACGTGGTCCCAATTCTAGACCTGTCAAAAAAGAAAACCTATCCAGTAACAGTGCTACACAGTCCAGCGAAAAACAAACAGCATTGGTGACAAACAGCAGTGATGATAGGTCGGTTGAACGATCTCGCAAATCTCAAAATGCTGCGAAGCATGCAGTTACGCCGAAATTGCACGATCAACTCCGTCAATAGTTGGGCAGCAACAATTTATCCCCATGGTTAGTGCGACTAATGGGGTTGCAGATAGACAGTCTTGCTTTATTCTTGGTCTGTCTATTATCCAAGACGGGACGAAAATTCCAACACGATAAATCACCGCCTACAAGGACCAGCAGATAATTCATTTACTGCGCAAACAAAATGCCACGATGGTGATATTGTAGAGGGGCCGCTTCCATGAATGCCTCAGGGGAGCTCTTCGGAGCCAGCTGAGAGCGGATCGAGAAGGACGGCTAGCGACGAGCCTAGGCCCGGAACTACGGAGTGGGAATATGTGGACAGCGCAATAAATCAGACATATACGCCGCTAGCGCAGCCCACAGGACCGAGGCCGAGCCGATTGACACAGCCCAGAACAAGCAAGTCGAGAGCTCTCGAACGACTCCTGGCCGATCCAAATCGGGTGCAGAGAAGTGGAGATCGAGGCGACAACAGGAAGGCGGGTCTTCCAAGTCAGAGCTCCCGAGGCGAAAGGACTGGCTCGTCTCTAACATCCGTACCGGTGTTGCGTTGTGGGACGGAAATCTAGTCGATATTCGATGGCGGATGTGAGACCCTCATGTGCCCATGTTCGGTGTGCAATAAACGTCTACCCCCCTGTCGTGTCGTTCTCGCTACACTGGTGCCGTGACCATTCGCGATGGAGTTGACTCGGTTGGAGCAATTTGCGGCCGGTGACGTGGAGGCGTGGCTCGCTGAGTTCGACGGAATTGCGGCTTGCACGGGGGTGAGGGGGATGCAAATTTGCTAATTGCTTTGGGCACACGGTTGAGTGGATGAGCCAAGGCGGTGTATCTGCTCAACCGGAAGGCAAAACCCGGCTGTTCGTTCGCTGAGATGTGGGCTGCCTTGTGTGCAGAATTTGGGAAGGATCTGGAGAGAGAACGAGCACTGCAACGATTTCACGCAGCCAGATGGGACGAACAGGAGGATTTGATGGTGTTTTTCCAGCAGCTGGACAGACATCTAACGATTGGGCTCCCCGAGTTAGAGGGTAACGCAAGAGAGCGCCTACTGAAACAGCAGTTTATCCGAAGTCTGCCCGATCCACTCCGTGATCAGGTGAAATTGGCGTCGATGGTGGGAGACAGCAAAGCGTTGGATCTGGTGACGGTCGCCCAGAATTTGTCGGAACAAGTGCCAGTGAGAAACATCCAGCATGCTGAGTTGGAACAGAAGGTAAATCGCCTATCCGAAATGGTGGAGCAGCTGTTGTCGATACAGTCTTCAAGCACCACTTCACAACGCAATGTACGGGTAATCCGGAACGGTCGCCGCTGTTTCCGATGCAACCAGAGTGGTCATGTGGCGAGATTCTGCACCAATGTCAATATGCTCCATCGTTTCTCTCTATCCATGCCGAGTCGGTGGCGAGTACCAGTCCTCCAGGTAACTATAGAAGGTGTGTCTGTCCGAGCCATAGTAGACACAGGAGCGGCAGTGTCAATTACGAAGAGGTTCAATGGGGTTCCAGTAAACCCATCTTCAATCACGATGCAGACGGTCGGCGGGCATTCTTTGAAAGTGACGGGCACGCAGCGGTTACGAATCAGGATAGGAGAATCGCTCATCAGCCATGACATGTTCATCGTGGAGGAGACGACCGAAACCATCATCGGAACCGACATCCTGAAACGGCTCGGTGTCACGATTGACCTGAAAAACGATGTGGTGATCGTGGCTAACGAGACGATCGAGATAAACAAGGGGAGAACCGACCGGGTTGGTGCCCTCAAAGCCGTGCCTGATTGTCAGAACCGTGCAATACGCAACGTACTGAGCAGGTATGCCCACTTATTCACAGACGCGGAAGATGATTACGGATTTTGCAATTGGGTTGAACACCGAATAACGTTGATCCCAGGAGGACAATGCAAGCCAATCTTCAGACGAATTCCACAGAACACCCTGGTTGAGATACAGAAGCAGGTGACCGAGATAGAATCGAAAGGAATCATCAGGCGAACGCACAGCCCGTATTCATCACCCGTGCTATTGACGAAGAAGGCCGACGGAACCTATCGATTTTGCATCGATTTCAGAGAACTAAACAGGGTGACTCTGAAGGATGCATTCCCGATGCCTCAGATGGAAGAAATTTTCTCAAGCCTTCACAGTGCCAAGCAGATATCTCTGATTGATCTCCGCTCGGGATATTGGCAACTGCCGATCGCAGAAGAAGATCGCCACAAGACGGCTTTCAGTGTCAATGGCCAGCAGTATGAGTTTTTGAGAATGCCGTTTGGATTGTGCAACGCCCCAGCTACATTCAGGCGTTTGTTGCTCATGGTCCTGGCGAACCTGCAAGGCGTGGTTGTTTATGGTGATGACATCATCGTCTTCTCTGAGACGGAACAGGAACATGTGACTAGACTTGGAGGAGTACTGCAGAGACTGGACGAAGCTGGTCTGAAACTCAGTCGTAAAAAGTCGCAGATTGCCCAAAAGTCGATTGTATGCTTGGGTCACATCGTGGGCAGGGGTCAAGTCCATCCACTTCCGGAGAAACGCGAGACGTTCAAGTGCTTCGCAAGACCAAAATCCAAGCGTCAGCTCCGTTCGTTCTTGGGAGTGGTGGCATATGATTCAAAGTTTGTGCCCCAGTTCGCAGAGAAGGTCAGCCCGTTGTTAAAGCTGCTTCGCAAGGACGTGCCGTTTGTGTGGACAGCGAAAGCGGATCGAGCCTTTGACCATCTAAAGGCATGCATAGCAGAAGCCCCGACATGTCTACGGCTACCCAATCCTGGTGAGAGGTTCACTGTGGCGGTCGACGCAAGCAACGTGGCGATCGGTGCGGTTTTATCTCAACCGGCTGGGGTGGTGGAGTACGCGAGCAGAGTGCTGACGGGGGCGGAACAGAAGTATTCAACAACGGAGAAAGAATGCTTGGTCATCGTGTGGGCGTTAGAGAAGTGGAGAAATTACTTACTGGCGAATGAATTCCGGGTCGTCACTGACCACAAACCGCTCTCGTGGTTGATGATGGCAAAAGACCCGCGGGGACGGCTTGCGCGATGGGCCTACCGATTGCAGGAATTCAACTTCACCATTGAGCACGTGGATGGAACGCAAAATATATTGCCAGATATGTTGTCACGCCCGTGTTTGGACGACATCATGCCAGACAATGCCATACCGGTGCTTGCGATCGCGATGGGGGAGAAGAACCTGCTGGGAGATCAAAGGACAGATGAATTCGTGATGGTGTTGTGCTCTCACTTACAGGCCGGCACCAAACCGGAGGCCACATCGGAAGAGGTGGAGGAACTCCTCAAGATCTGGGACAGGCTGAAGGTCGAAAACGATAACGTGGTGGTGGTGATAGACGGACGGAAAGTGCCTTTTGTTCCACCAAATCAGCGAGAACGTGTGATGCGTATAACTCATGATGGCGCCCATATGGGATTCGAGCGGGTCTTTGAATTGCTGCGGAGGCGAGTGTTTTGGCCAACCATGAGGAAGGACGTCGCGGCATACATTCGGGGGTGCCCAAACTGCCAAACGAGTCGGGAGATGGAGTCCCCGAGACCGCCGATGCGGTCGATGGAGATTTTTGAGCCATTTCAGTGTTGGGGACTGGACGTCTTTGGGCCCTTACCAGTGAGTCGAACAGGAAACAGATACATTCTAGTGATGATTGACCAATTCACTCGATGGGTGGAAGCCATACCAATCAAGGACCAAACAGGCAAGACAGTGTCGCAAGTATTCGAATTCAATGTGCCTGCAAGGTATGGGATCCCACAGTGTATCATCACGGACCACGGGCCCTGCTTCGAGTCAAGAGCGTTTAAGTCAGTGTTGGACAAGTGGGGCATCCAGAGACGGCGAACTTCACCGTACCACCCACAAACCAACGGGATGACCGAGCGGTTCAATCGGACATTGAAGACGTGGATAAACTGCACGAAGTTGGCATGGGAAGATGCTTTGCCTCAGGTTCTGATCGCGTATCGGACCAGCATGCAATCAACCACCAAGGTCGCGCCATTCGAATTACTGTTCGGCAGAGAACCACGGATTGCGCTCGATACTTGCCTACCGAACCCGGGTGAGTGGAAACATCCAGCTGAGCATCAAGGGCGACTGCGAAGGAAAGCTAGAAGCGAGACCAAAGCTCGACAAGCGCGGAATAAGCGAAATTACGACGCCAGACATGAGACTCACAAGTGGAGGCCATTCAGGATTGGAGAACGGGTCAAGTTACGGAACAACGATCGGCCGGATCATGACGGGCCGGGCGCAAGCAAGTTCAGAGAACGCTGGAAAGGCCCCTACACCATTATCGACCAGAAAGCGGGCAACTTCTTAGTCGACTGCGGAGGAATGAAACGTTGGGTGAATGCTGCTCTCCTGCGACCATGGTACGAGAGGAAGAAAGGTCCTCGAGGAGGGGCGGATGTAGAGGGGCCGCTTCCATGAATGGCTCTGGGGAGCTCTTCGGAGCCAGCTGAGAGCGGATCGAGAAGGACGGCTAGCGACGAGCCTAGGCCCGGAACTACGGAGTGGGAATATGTGGACAGCGCAATAAATCAGACATATACGCCGCTAGCGCAGCCCACAGGACCGAGGCCGAGCCGATTGACACAGCCCAGAACAAGCAAGTCGAGAGCTCTCGAACGACTCCTGGCCGATCCAAATCGGGTGCAGAGAAGCGGAGATCGAGGCGAAAACAGGAAGGCGGATCTTCCAAGTCAGAGCTCCCGAGGCGAAAGGACTGGCTCGTCTCTAACATCCGTACCGGTGTTGCGTTGTGGGACGGAAATCTAGTCGATATTCGATGGCGGATGTGAGACCCTCATGTGCCCATGTTCGGTGTGCAATAAACGTCTACCCCCCCTGTCGTGTCGTTCTCGCTACACTAAGTCAATGTGCATGAAGCGTTGACCGTAAGTAGGGATGAGTGTGCCATTGGCTGCACGAAGGCTGAAAGTGGCCGGTAGAGTCGTCTCTTTAGATGCGGGAGGGACCACGCTTATTTCGGTCCCGGTGTCAATCAGGAACACGGCCCCAGATTTGCAGTCCTGAACATACAAGCAGAGACTGCGTTCGTATGGGCCAGTGACGTTAATCACCTTTAAGTCCAAGCACTAGCATTTCACTGTTGAGTCGAATAAAAAGTGCACGTTGTGGTAAAATGTGTGGCCTGCTTACCAAAACGCCTAGGGTACCAGCAGGTTCGTTTCGGTTATGTGATATACTGTGATATGCTTGCTGATAAAGTCGCAGAGTAAAGCTGCTAACTCTGCCAACACTTTGTTAACTCTTGTGACGCTGGAGGTGATAGGGTGGAGTGTGAACAGCAGAGAGTAGGAACAGCGTTATGGGTACATAATGGTTGTGACAACGGTCGAGCGACGCAATTGAGCTGAGGGCCAAATTGATTCACAACTACGTCGGTTACCCTGTGTCGCCCGGCCATTGTAACTGGATCGCCGTAAGTATACCTTTCGCAGTTAATGGAAGACGCTGTAGCCAGGGTTTGCGCAGGAATGATTCCATCCATGGTTGACGTATTTGGTGCATTTCCCTCAATAGCGTGCTTCTGCTTATGACGGCCTGATTGAGAGTGTCATAACGCCGCTCAGAACAGGTTACGTTAAAAATGCCCCTAAGTTGCAGTTACGTTACTAGGCAGGTAATCAGCAGTTGATTTCACTGTTAAATCGAAGTTAATCCTATGGTGAGTGAATTCCGACGCTAACAAAACAAACCGAAAATGTGACCACTGCTAATGAACGGCAAAATGGAACAACGCTTTTAAAAGAATCACAAAGCTAAATTTTAAAAAGTCACAGCATCAGCAGGGTGCAAATTCAAAATACAGAAAAATTGTCAGCAAAATTAGCTTCATACCGGTGGACTCACTGCTGTACACTGTAAATGATAACAAATGGAACGACAGTGAAGATTTTGTCGCCTCCTGGTGTACACCTACAGGAGTCTAACAAACTGGAGCGTATTCTAAACGTTGACAGGCAATGCAATCTCCATCAGACACTTGCGTTTAGGCATGGGCAAGCAGACACTTGATGTGGTACAGCAAAAAGAGTGCGCGGTCA